TTTTTCATTCCTTGAACGACAAAACTGATGCTCTTGCTAGGCTGGCCAAGGAACTACCAAGCTTTGTTGGAGACCCTGTGATAGTAGTGGTTCAGAATAGAATGGTCCTGTCACCAGCATGTCTTAAGCCTTCAAAGGCTACCCCTATGGGTAGTGAAGGCACGGTCCTTTCCTCTTCGGATGAACCATGTGTTAATTGATGATAATCCATTATCACATTTCCAATGAAAGGGGTGCTCGCTCACAATCGCTCTTTTGCTAATCAAATCCAAAAGAGAGCATTGTCATAGACCATCATGAATGGTACATTTTACATATGCTCATTCGACTGAATGTGGTTGTTATGTGCTGAAAAGGACGAAATCTATAAAATCATGATTGAAGTTTATGAAAATCTTTGCGGGATGAAAATCAAGATCAAGAGGTTGGGATAATATTGGCCTTCAAGGACAATTGATTGTGTGGAATATGCCAAGCAACACCATCATTGCTAGATATTTAGTCTAGTACCTCATCAGCCCCTGAATGCACTGCATCCTATAGTTGCATCACGACCCTTAGATGTCGGGGAACTGATATTTTAAAGCTCATCCATCCTCCATCCTTTAAAGAGCACATATTTATTCTAACAAGCACTGACTACTTTTCCAAGTGGGTGGGGTCATCCCCCTGAGTGAGGTTAAGGCTAAAAATGTGATGCACTTTATCAAAAATAATATCGTGTATTGTTTTGGTGTTCCACGCCGTATTATCTCTGATAATGAACTAAACTTCAAAAATATCAAGATAAATTGATTTGCTCATTATCATCAAATCAATTAGCAATACTCCACGATATACTATCCGAAAGCAAATGGTTTAGCCAAGGCCTTCAATAAGACCTTCATAAACCTGATAAAGAAAATCCTTCACACCAACTAGAAGGAATGACACGAAAATCTCTCCGAGGCTTTGTGGGCTTACCATACGGTAACTAGCTCTACTCCTTATGCATTAACTTTTAGGTCCGAAGCAATCCTCCCCTTGGAAGTTGAATTGCCTTCATTGTGAGTTGTTTTAAGCAACAACATTAACAATGATGATAATATCCAAATCAGGTTGAAAGAGTTTGGTACTTTTGAGGGGGTACAAGCCTAACAAAAACTTGAGTTATACTATGCTTGAATGACCAAAGCTCATGAAAAACTTCAAATTGGAGTCTTGGTGCTGGTTCTACGCCGTTCTATTGTGACTTACCATCAAAGACATGATAAGTTCAAGAGGAGGAGCCTACTTGTTGATTGATGCAGACATGTCTCACCCAATGTCCCTTGTTAACAGGTGATACCTAAAGATATATCATGCTTAGTTCTTTTTTCTTTTCATGTACTCATTGTACTTTAGAGAAAAATTGATATTCAAAGCTTATGTACTTTTTAATCTAATTTTTTAGCAACAAAGAAAACACACTTTATTATCTCTTTATTACATGGGTTCCTTGTTGTGATTACCACACATTTGCTAAATGATCACTTGAAGCTCACAATGACTACTTGCAAGAGAAAACTTGTACGTCTCTTAAGTTGATTGTCGGTTTGCATTTCAGACAAGTTGGCAGTCTCCTAGGGTAGCCTATACATGGTGCGACCGATAATGGACATGAGAGAAGCCATGTTCATCTCTTACCAAGCCTTTTGACAACCCACTCTACGCGGGGTTCAAAACCAATATACTCACTCGTCGTGAGTATGGTAGAAGTTTACTTTAGGAAAGTTCTCGACATTCTTTTTTTTGTCCATCTTTGTCGTATATCCTGTTTTTTCTGATTCATCTTTTCTTTAGATCATCCATATGATCAGGAAGAGAGATTTATTCGGAAAAAGAAATTATATGACAATAAAAAAACTAACAACTCTTAGAAAAAGAGAGAAAAAGAATGAAAACAAACGGGTAAAAATACTCCTCAACTGCCATTGATGATTGACTAATTCCAGGAGTTAAGCCAAAGTATTGGGTTGTTGTAAACACAGAGCATATTTAAATTACTAGCTTCTTTGCCCTTGGTCTAGGGCAGCCTGTGCTACTTCAAGTTCCAGATCATACACTTCCAATATTTCTTTTTGAAAATGAGCAACCTATAAATGAAGGTTCTTGTTCTATCCTTTCTTGATGTGCCGCAGAGCCTGTGAGTTTTTACAAGACTTTTGAGTGCGGACAAACTGCATCGTGAACATCCTCTTGAATTATGTGAAGGAGGTGATTACCCCCATTAGAAGGCCATTAAATCACCCGAAGGCCATATCCCTCAATATGGTGTTGAATAACCAACATTTCAGTGTGTCAGATATTTTGAGAAGACAGAGAATCTAGCTCAAAAGAGACCATATGGTCGGCTAGATCACTTTGACCCTTGCACGATTCTAATGGAGGAAGTTTGAACTTCTTTGATTTCTCAACATCAGAGATTTGCCGAAAGTATGCATTCTTTGTCTGATAGTAGACCTCTATTTGTTCAAAGCTGTTGTCTGACCAATGGCGTAGACCCAACACTATCCTGATATTATGAGTCTTCAATTCTTTATGCCCTTTGAGCCGCAAGAAAGCCTTAGGGTTTGAGTTCATTTTCTCTGGGGATTCGCTCCTCGGGAGCTTGCACCCTTCTCTCGAGTAGCAAATGGGGCAATTATACCATTTGTCTGGCTATTTGATCTCCAAGTTAATGGATTTACTGTTGTACAAATTCCCTTATGTACTCCATGTTTGTAGAGTCTCCCAAAAGTGTTCTTTCTCCGAGGTGTGCTCATTTTTTGTTGGTGGCTTGATTTCACCCTCACCACACCTATTAGGATTTTAAATCAAAATATGTCTTGTGGATCACACTCAAGGTATAGAGCGTAGGACGAACAAGTTAAACAAAGAGAGGGAGAAAGAGAAAGATTGAGAAAGAGAATGTACAGTAACACAAGTGTCTTGATATATAAAACTTGATAGTCCTTTTTTATGGAAATGACGCCTTATTTACAGATCCCAGGGGTATCTAGTGTAAAATTACATATTTGTCATTGTTTTGATAGAAACACTACAAGTTATTCTGAAAAATTTTTATATAGGTAATTGACTTTGACACCCTTTCATAATCATAACTATCATTAACACCATTTCATATTCATAACTACTTGAAGAGGGGCATTCAATGACCCAATATTTTTGTCATTCGATAGGTTAGTACCTTTTGGTTGCCCGAGAGACATTTGGTCGGCTCAAAGTTCGTCGATCAGCCCTCTTTTTAGAATCTTTAGTTGAGGTTGTCTTATCGTTTTGGTGAACTTAGGCCGTCAGGCAGAGGGTGTATCACCATAATTTGACAGACAATTCTCCTTAGATAAGGGGCCTTCTCATAGGATAAGAAATGTGTTATGCAGCGTGCTATTTGGGCATCTTTGTGAAGAGTTCTGGAATTGACTGAGGGAGCCGGTCATGAATGACTGTCTCTTAGATTAGGTGTTTTCTATTCATTCATTTGATTGTGCTTCTATTCAGTCTTTTGACTATCCAAATACATTGTTTATGGTGTTCATAAGCGAGACCCATTTGAATTTTTGCAAGATTCATGCTATCATATTTGTTGATGTACACTACAGAACTTGCACTTTCTTATATTTGGTTGGATTTCATAAATCGATAATAAATTATGTTAATAAGCATTACCAAATACCCCCTTATACTCTGTTTGGGGCGGCGATGTGGTGCCGCATCACAGTTTTTTTTGTTTGACAAAATTATGTTTTGCATGTGGTTTTGAAAAGTTGAAGATAAAAGCTGAGTTTTCCAACCATGACTGGTTACCTGCGGTGGCTGCAAGAAAGTTGCAGTCTGACTTTTTCAAAAAAAATTTTTTTTTTTTGAGCAGCAGCTTCACAATTGCTTTTTCAATCAGCTGCAGCTGTTGCAAGCAAATATCTCTGGATGTTTTCTAGTATCACACTGCATGATTGGTAGACCGTTCAAAATTGAATTTTTTTAATAATATTAATTTTAAGCAGCTCAATTTACTCCCTTCTTACATGGTTGTTAATTTTCTCTGATAAAGGTATTAGTCTAATCATACATTACTATGTTTCTTACAATATAAAATATATTAATTACTTTTTTGATAAATGATAACTTATTAACACGTTCAAAGCATAATTCAAATATTCAAAAAGATCAAGAAAATTTTGAATTTGCATCTCTCAAACTTAATAATATTTGAACTTGAATTTAAATCTAAATTTTATGAATTAAAAATACTTGAGAACCGACTTATTTATTTATTTTTTTTAAAGAGAATATAATTGTTATAGTAAAAATTTTAAAAATAAATTAGAAAAATGAAAATTTTAAATAGAAGTGATGTAAATTTTAAAATCTTCAATAAATTTGCATCTATAATTAGGTGCATTTACATATCGATCACCCAATTTTTATGAATTTACATCTCCAACACCTAAATTTTATTTGTAATATTTACACCATCAAATCTTTCATTTCACATTGAAAATACCATCGAACTGCACCCTTTCATGCGGAAAAAATTGTGCGTGTAAGACGTACGCAGCAATGCTGCGTACGTTTTAGAGGTTATACAGAGGGTATAAGTGAGTTATATTCTCGCTATACCCTCTTATAATTTTCATGTAACATTCTGTAATTTACCTGTAACCTACATAAGCTCCGCGCTTCTGTTTTCATATATTAAGAATTTATTTGTAGGTTACAGATATGTTACAGAAGGTTACATAGAGGTTGCAAGAGGGTATAATACGGAAATAACTCCCTTATACCTCTTGTATAACCTAAAAAATGTACGCAACACCGCACAAATTTTTCCCCTTTCATGCCCAGAAAATATGATATGTATTAGCTATTCTATATGTAAATACATAGGAGTTACGTAAAATTTATGTAAATTTTCATTTACAATTTTAAATATATTAAATATTAAATAATTTTATATAACTCTGCTCGTGCAAGAACCCCTCGAAGTCAGAAGAACCAGGGAAACGCGCTCTGTGATCCAACACCCCTCCCCCCATCGATAAATTGCACGAGGCAAATCAGATTCGGAATTGCCCTCATTTGACCTTGTGCTCTATGGTCCGAGATTTGATTCCAGGCGGTTGATTCTTCTTCTTTTTGTACTTCTGGTTCTGCTTTTTTTTTTGGCGGAGGCTGGATGGCAGCAGCGTTGGTTGCTTGCCGTGGAGGAAGAACGGCGGTGGGATTTATGAACAATCAAGTTCGGGAGATGTCTGAGTGGGTTAAGTTGAGTGTGGATGGGAGGCGGGCTTTCATTGTGGATACTCTTTGCATGGTTTGTTTTCTTTCATCATCTAGTTTTGTTCTTTATGTGCTTATTTTAGGGAGCATGTGTGTTGACTAGTAGGTGTTTGATCTACTGCTTGTGAGAAGAAGTTGTGATGATGTTGTTGGTTTGGCAGGTGAGGAAACTTGAGGGTCAGGGCATTTCTTCCAATCAGGCGGAAGCCATAACCGCGGCCATCAAAGAAGTTCTGAATGATAGCCTGGAGAAGGTGTCGAATTCATTTGTGTCTAATGAGCGAATGAAGATGGTGCGAGAGCTTGATGCTGTTGCATTTATTTCTTTTTTTTTGTGCTTTTGTTGTGGAATGTATTGTTACTGATGTGGTGAGGGTTGTTTTGGTTGCAGAGTGAGATGGCTCAGGATGCCAACCTCTCCAAATTCAAATCCGAAGTACAGAGTTTACAGGTTTGATATATAGATTGGATGGTGCTTGGTGTTTTGATTATTGATTTATTAAAAACAAAAAGATTTTCTTTGGTGCAAAAGCCGTCTAACATTTGGTTTCTCCTGAAAGCTGTATCATTAGAAGTGATTATGCAATGCAGAAGCAAATAAAACTTATTGAAGCGTTACAATAATATCAATATGTATTCTCGGTGCCATTAATTTGTCTAGGTTGCAAGGGATAGCTTTTGTTTGTTATGAAGTTTTTATGAGTACTTTTGCAAAATAGAAATTTGTGTAAATATAATTTATAAGGGATTTGCTTTTAGTAGTTTTACCTTAATTTAATTATGTTGTCTAATATGAGCTTTGCCATAGCTTGACACAATGACTTTGTGTATTATGTTCATCAATTTGATAGATGTGAGCAATTCATTTTCTGATTTTGCTGTTGCATGTACTCCTAATATATAACACAAATGTCTAGAATTTATGTTAACCAATGTGGCTAAGCTAATGGATTAGCTGTGAAATGCTTATATGATGTGGATTGCTATTCACTTATAATTGATTGGGTAGTATCTTTTTTTTGGTGTGAGCCTTTGAAGTACTAAGTTTTTTTTTTTGGATAATTATATGAACTACTCTCAAAATATTGCTATTTATGGAACTAGCACCTATGTGTTTTTTTGAACTACCGGAGCTGATGCTTTTTCACATGCCACGATCAAACCTTTGAGAATTTGATAAAAATGAAAAAAAAATGGGCGGGGTTTTATCATGAATTTTTATATTTGAGTGAGAATTTGAAATATGGATGTAATTCCAGAGGCTGCTAGTAAATAGCAATGTTTCAAGTGCCATTTATGTAATTGTCCCTTTTTTGGGTATGTAGCCTTTTATTCTATTTTATTAGGCATTCGAAATCCTTTCCCTTTCTATTATTATTGTTTCTCTTTTCATTAACTTTTTATCATTAGCTTTGGTTATGCAATTCAAAGGCAACTAAAAAGGAGGAACATTTTTTAAGGAACGCCCTTTCAGTGATGTGATGACATAAAGGAAAGAAGGTAACATTAGCGAAAAAAAGCCTGAAATGGGGTTGTTTTCATAATTGATTATTATTTCTTGCATGTACATTATGGATTTATGATCCGATGTACTGATATATGAGCAATAGTTATTAAGATTGTCTTCCCCGACTTTCTCAGTCTTAACGTAGTTTCTAGATTAATCATATCGCGAGCTTTCATAACATGTGGAGGTTTATTTGGCTTCTCTATCTTTCGCTTCATATATGACAACACATGCCTACAAAGGTGCTGTTGAGCAATAATTTATTTATTTACATTGATGGTTGCAATAGGGAATACTGTCAAATGGTAGTCAGTACAATAAGGCTAAACCTGTTTCATGTTGGATAGTGTATTGAGGATAAATTTGAAGTTTTATTTTTTTATTTTTTTTATTTTTTTTATTTTTTATTTTTGTGTTGCTTTGTTGTAGCATCACATGTGTGAATTCCAATTTGAAGAAAATTAACAATCAAATTTATTTATATATAAGTTCTGTCAAACTATCAGCGAATTTTTAATTCATAATATTTATTGGATAGGATTGGTGCTGTATTCCTTCCAATGGGATCTCAAATTTTGTCCTTGGTTGTTTAGTATGTAAAAATGTATCACTCGCGTAACAACAATCAAGGCTGACCGGTAGACTTTCTAACCTAACAATCCAGGAAAATAAGATCTAGCAAGGTTGTCTCTATTCATTTGCTATTCCTTCTAAGTGGATTTTATAGGGTTTAGGAAAAATAGGGCCAAATAATAAATTATTGCCCACACCATCGTGGGGGAACAAACAAACAAACATTTTTTGAGACTTAATACTGATATATTAAATTAAATTGAAAAGCATCCCAAATTCAAGCCAATATTTTGATAGAAAAAATTCAATTTTCCTTCCTCTTTTTTGCAAATACCTTTGGCTCCTTCGTTTTTTTTCCTCAAAATCAGCGAGTGATTTCAGTTTTTCTCTATTTTTTATGAGCTGACAGTGGTAAAAATGAAATTTGTCTCCATATTTTTGTGCACTTGTGTCAAGCAAAAAAGAAGAGGAATTCAGCTGTTGGAGAAGGTGTTGGGAGTGCGCTGGAGTTTGTGTGACAAGATATTTGACTGTTGGTTACTATAGTACAAGTTGAACCCTTTCAGGTTTTTACAGAAATAATCAGAGAAGGTAAAAAATAAAAATGACCCAGATTTGGAGGAAATTTTTAATTTCAAAACTTTTTTAAATCTTAATGCCTTTCCAAAATAACTTAAAAATATCTATTTATAGAAGTATAGAGATAAATAATTTTAAATTTAAACTTATCTAAAATGATTAAGAATGCGCAGAAATAACTCTTTATCTCTAAATTCAAGTCATTAATACTGTATTTAAGGTGCAAAATGAAAACGAAAAGAACTAAGTTTTTTAAATTTTAGGAATCGTCCTTAGTTTTTTAGGAATGAATACATATCACTTACTAGCATGTTAAAATATTTATATAATAACTTTTTCATGCATCTTTTACTTATGGGCCCAAATTTGGGGCTGGGTTGATTACCCTTATCCAAATCTCTGTTCACGTCCAAAAATGTTGGTTAGGCATAGCATTTGTGCTGATTCTTTTATATTTCAGTAAAAAAAGTTTTGAGGATATTCTAAAGTGTACTATTCATCCTTCTGGATTTTTTTTTTGTTTTTTAATTTAAGGTTATTGGAGTTTTTGTTCAAACATACACTTAATGAGTTAAAATTTGATTCAATAAATGATAATATAACCAAATAACACATTGATGATTTTGTAAAGAATTTCATAAAAGTTAAGTCAAATAGGTAACTCAGTTGGAAAAACTTAATCCTTTTTATATAGAAATAGTATGACATGAATACTGCATCTAATGAGTGGAACTGTTAATATTGTTGTGACCTTTTTTATGTTATGAATGATAGTTTAGAAATATGCACCAGGAAACTAAAATTGTTAGATGAAGAAAAATGGGCTTATAAAACCCGTGTGTGATATGTTCTTAACGATTGATGCGTAGTAAGTTTTAAACTTACCTTTTTATAATTTGAGAGTCTATAAATTGACCCCTGTGCTCTAGGGACTTATGACCACTCCCTAGACTCAAGCCTTCTAATTCAATCTTAGAACTCTTAAGCTTATTCATGTGTACCTACTCTCCTCTATCATATTGTAATTAGCTTAAATCACTCACAATCAACTCCTCTCATTCTCTCTCCTCTTCCCTAAACCCTAACTATAGTTTAGTTTCTCCCTTCCTCTCTTTGTAATTCATTGTGCAAACTGTTCTCTACTCATGAGCTAATGAAATTCCTCCAAACTTTATTGGTTTGCACGTTTTTGACCTGTTTTTTTGATAAAAAATAATTTGAAAAAACAGTCTGTGAAGAAAATTAACCGTCTAAAGTTGGGGATTGAAGCTGCACATGTTAGCTTGTGCAAGATTAAAGAAGGGTCATTTGAATTGTGAGATTCATAACTCGCGTGATTTATTACAAGAATGATTTAAAGGATGCTTTCTGTATTAAAAAAATTGCCTTTTATTTCTCTATTAAAAGGAGCATAACCATGTATGAGGCCTTATCGCCGCTCAGGGAGGTGTTGATGTACCCGCACATCACCATAGTGTGGCTGATAAAAAATATTCTTGTTTGAAATTTTTGTCCTAAATATTATGTTGGAGGCAACTTAAAATTGGCTTCAGGTTGTCAAAGTTTTGAGAAAAATAGGTTGAATTCTTAGTAGGCTCGATTCCTTTTCCCTTTGCTTTCATTCCATTAAATACCCATCTTAAAATCTATTTTAGATACAAAATAAAGTGCATATAATCTATTTTAGGCAGCTTAATAATACATATTCCTAATCTAAATATTTAGCTAAAAGAGAAATATATCATAATAAAGATATTAGAAATAAGGAACCTTCTAATTATAGAAAACTCTTAATTTAGCTGCTTGATTTTCATTCTTCTTGATTTGCACCCCCTCTCAAATTGATGTTAACTGATCAGGAAGCATCAATTTGCCAACAAGAAGCTGATAATATTGTTGGGACAAAAAATCCTCAAGCCGTGAGTGCCGATGCCAGAAAATGCTTGAAGCTTATGAATGCCGAAACCCAAAAGTGTCGAAGCCCAAAAATGCCGAAGCCCGAAAGGTCGAAGCCTGAGAGTGCCGAAGCCCAAGAGGGCCGAAGCCCAAGAGTGTTGAAACCCAAAAATGTCGAATCCCGAAAAGCCGAAGCGTGAGAGGGCTGAAGCCCAAGAGTGTCGAAGCCCCAGAGTGCCGAAGCTTAAAAGTGCCGAAGCCCAACAATGTCAAAGCCCAAAAGTGTCGAAGACTGAAAATGCTGAAGCCCGAAAGAACGAAGTCTGAGAGTGTCGAAGCCCAAAAGTGCCAAAGTCGAGGCTTAAGCGGACGAAGTGAAGCGTAAGAAGCAGTCGAAGATGCCACAGAAGCAGTTATGCCTAACATAGAAGATTCGAATCAGACGAATAATGATACAAACATAACAACCATTTTCAACCCAAGAATCCTTGCTTCCATAATGAATGAATTTTGCACTTCAGAATAAGTTACATCTCCTTCAAGACATAATTCTTCTTTTCTACCTTGTTCTTCATGAGAAGAGCAACAAACTTTTCATAAAGAGCCCTAATTCCATAGTTCCAGATGAATGAATCAGTTTTTGGGATCAAGGCAGTTGATAAGCGTGAGAGCATTGCTGGTAAGCCGAGAGACGTGCACAACATGGCGGCGGATCTCCGGCCGTACATCTGCCGCAGCGCGGTACACCTGCCGCAGCTTTGTCCTGCGAGAGGCTATCGAGACATGTGCTCTGATCTGTAAGCCGGCTCTCACCCACGTCTGAACGTTATTCAGATGCCAACTGAAGGATATGCTTTAGTATCGCCCCATTAGCTCCATCTTTTTAAACGATCTCT